TGTTTTATGTAGTTTTTTGTTGGTTGTGGGGCTTGAACTCAGTTCTGTGTACCTGGGCTCTTTTGCTCAAGGCTAGCTAAGTGCTTGACCACTTTGAGCCACAGCACCACTTCCTGTTTTCTGGTGGTTATTTGAAAATAAGAGTCTTTGAACCGTGATCTCAGCCTCTGAGTAGCTAGGATTCCCAGCGCCTGGCCCTTGAGGTGTCTTTAAGAGCTGTGACAGCCAGGTGCCAGTGGCTCACACCTGTCATCCTACCTACTCAGGAGACTGAGATCTGAGGATCACGGTTCAAAGCCAACCCGGGCAGAAAAGTCTGTGAGACTCTGATTTCCAGTGAACCACCAGAAAACCAGAAGTGGCACTGTAGCTCAAGTGGTAGAACACTTGCCTTTAGCTGAAGAGCTGAGGGACAGCACCCAGGCCCAGAGTTCAAGCCCCCAGGACTGGACAAAAAAAAAAAAAAAAAGCTGTGACAGGTTTTGGATATTGGAGGGAGGTACCATGGCTGTGGGATTGCATACAGAACTGGGGGCTCAGGAGAAAGCAAGCAGATAAGCACTTGAGGGAGGAATTCTGGTGATTGAGAGTACATAGTCTAGAAAATCTCTGGGAAAGTGACATTTGACCTGAGGGTTTGGGGGGTGAGGGGTAGGGGGTCTTGGGACTAGAATTTAGGGCCTAGGCACTGTTCCTGAGCTTCCTTTACTCCAAGGCTAGAGCCATGCCATTTGAGACCCAGCTCCATGTCTGGCTTTTTTCTGGCTAATCCGATATAAAAAAGTCTCCTGGATTTACTACCTAGGCTGACTTCAAACCTTTATCTTCAGATCTCAGATCTCAGCCTCCTGTGTAGGCATCTATTTAGGATTACCCATGGCTAGAGCTTTGATGACTGAGAGGATGGGCTTGTTAAAAGCCTGCTTACAAGGATCAGCATGTACAAAGGTCCCCAGTCAAGGAAGAGTGATAGAATGAGGTTAAAAAAACAAAAAACAATGGACCATCAAGCCTGGTTGTATACAGTTGTAGTCCCAGCTTTGCTGGACACTGAGGTTGGAAGATGAGTTAGAGTCAAAATGAAGACACAGGAAGCAAGCTGAAAACCAGAAATAGGGAAATAGATCAAGTCAACTAGTGCTTCAAGGTCAAGGCCTTGTGGGCTGGGCTGTCCCTTTGAGTTTATGTCCTGAGGCCACTGAGGAATGCTCTTAAGTCAGTCTAGTGACCAGGAAGTGTTTACAACTTCTGAAGCCTAGTTGCTGAGGCTTGAAGAAACAGCCAGCTAGGAGCCAGGAAACAGAAGGCTTGGCACCACTCTGTCCAAGCAGTGGGATCCAGGCTCAGTCAACACCTAACCCACTCCACTCCCTGCAGGCCCTGTGCACAAAGGTGCCTGAACTTATCAGAACCATCATGGGCTGGACACTGGAGTTCCTCCGAGATCGGCTGCTGGGCTGGATCCAAGAACAGGGTGGTTGGGTGAGACCCCTGCCCCCCACGCCCCGGGGACCCCTGGGCTCTGGACATTTACCATTTTCAGATGCTCGGCTCTGTTCCACAGTGCTTGCATAATGCTGGTTCATCTGATCCCCACCGACCTTGATTGGTGACCTTGATTAGTGCCATCTACCCCTCCCTGAGCTCTTCCTCCCTTGTACCCCAAGTTAATTGATTATTTTATTTTATTTTTTGGCCAGTCCTGGGACTTGAACTCAGTGCCTGGGCGCTGTCCCTGAGCTTCTTTTGCTCAAGGCTAGCACTCTACCACTTGAGCCACAGCGCCACTTCTGACTTTTTCTGTGTATGTGGTACTGAGGAATCGAACCCAGGGCTTCATGCATGCAAGGCAAGCGCTCTACCACTGAGCCACCTTCCCAACCCTTGATTATTTTTTGTTTTTAAAAACCCCACATTCACCCTAGGCCTCACTCCCACCCTCTCCCACTTGCTGGCCTACTGGCTGACACCCGCTGACTTGCTGAAGTGACCTCTCTGTCCCCAGGATGACCTCCTCTCCTACTTTGGGACCCCCACGTGGCAGACAGTGACCATCTTTGTGGCTGGGGTGCTTACCGCCTCGCTCACCATCTGGAAGAAGATGGGCTGAGGCCCCCAGCTGCCTTGTGGACTGTGTCTTTTCTGCATAAATTATGGCTTTTTTCTGGGTGGAATGGGGGGTGGGGGGAAATGGGCATTTTTCTTACTTTTGTAATTATTGGGGAGGGGAAACAATGGCCTGTGGGGAGGGTAATAAATCTTTGGTCTACATTTTGGAGTCTGACTCTCTGGTCCCGTGTCCTATACACACTAGCATCAGGAGAGCGAGGGAAGGGGGGGGGCTCCCCGCTTCATTGCTTCCCCCATTCTTGCCCAGTGTCTGCAGCTCTGAGCTTGGAGGGCTTTGCTCATTTTTCTTTTTTTGGAAGTGACCTGTCTGTGGATTAGGGATGAGTCAGCCCCCAGCCCTACCCTCCCAGGAGCCCACAATCCATTAGGAATGAAGGGTACCTGGGCCAGGTGTGAGCCCACAGAGGCCTTGAACGCAAACCTGGGGCTGTGGGGGTGTGAGCCTCCACACCACACCCAGGGGGGCCAGGACCTGGGAGCTCCAGTTGGGGTCCTGTCCAGACCTTTGAGTGTCCTGGAAGGGTGGATGGGAACAGGAGAGGCCCAGGAAAATTACTGGGTGCTGGGGGACAAGAAGGTTCTCCAGGAGAGAGGACCAGACCTGAAGCAGGGCTGAGTGGACTGCAGCCCCAGTGACCTGGGTAGGCACCCCAGAACCCTCTGAAATCTAGACAGGAAAAGCAAGTGGATCCTATAGGAGAGTCAGTCCATGTCTTTTTTTTTTTTCTCCTAATTTTTACATATTTTGGGGCAGGGTACTGGCTGCAAAACCCATGTTCTCCAGCCATACCTCAGCCCTTTCGTATTTTGCATTTGAGGGCTCCCCAAAACTGCCCCGGCTGGCCAACTCCAAGATCTCCTGTGTAAGTGGGGTACCAAGGGTGCACCCCAGCGCCTGGGTCCCTGTTCCCTGCCTCCCTGGGCCCTCGGGGCCTCTGGTCCTCCCACCTGTGGGGCCCCTGCTGCTGGAGGATAAAGGTCGGAAGGCAGTCAATGAGTAACTCCCTCCCCGAGGTCCACAGAGCTCCCCGCAGACAGACACCAGGTCAGGGAGAGGATCAGGGCGCAGACAGCCGCCACCCACAGAGACAGGCCCATGCGCCCACAAACAGGAGCCCCGGGGAACCAGAAAATAAACAAGGTTGTGGGAGATGGAAGCCGCCCTGCCCGCGGCCGCACACCGCGCGGAAGAAGTCAGACTTGGGGTCACGAGGGGGGGGGTCCCAGCCGCCATCATCCCCCAGGGGTGAGGTCAGCGGGCAGCTCCGCCCCCGTCTGGCGCTGAGCTCACCGTGACTCAGCACCGATCCGCCTGGCTAGGCGCCCAGACACCCCCTAGGACCCCCAGATACGCTGGGGAGGGTGCGGGAGGGAGCACACATCCGGGAACCTGCCAGCCAGCACCTGGGCTGCTTCCATTGGCTCCTGGGCCGAGCGGCCTCAACTGCTCACTGCCTCGGCTAGGGTACAGAAAGTGGGAGTAAAGTCTTGCCTCTCCCCCCCTCACCCCGGCCTTTGTGCTCCTTCCTGCCAAGGTCGTGGGGTCCGAGAAGCTCAAGATCCAGCACAGGGCCAGGCTGGCCTCCCAGACAGAACCTTGGACCTGGCACCCTTAAACTGTCTGCCTGATTCATGACAGATCGGTCCCCGGGCCTGGTTCCCCCAGCAGGACCAGAGCCTCGTGGCATGACTGAAGGAGGTGTCCTGTTTGGGGATGGGATGGAGGGGATTGGGGGAAATTGGAGACTTTGATTCAGGGTCCAGGGGAGCCTGTTACCTCCAAAAAGCCCCTAGAAAATGCAGCCTCAGGGAGGCACCCCCGAATTGCAAGTCCTCTCCTTGCTCCTTCCCTCCCTACTCTCAGAAAAGCCCACGTTCTCTAGACAGCTCGAGGAAAACCCTCAAAGTTTTCCCAGGGCTCCAAAAGGGCTGCCCAGAATTCCACATACCTGCCCCCTACCTCTAAAAATGTTCAAGCTCGGCTTCCAAGGGTGTGCACACCCACGAACCCCAAAGCTCCAGGGCAACGCTTTTCTATCTTGAAGATTCCTGAAGAGGCTGAAAGACCTCTCCTGGAAGCTTCCACACAAACCTGGAACTTCCCTTGGTGACACCCCATACACAACATCCCCAGACCTGGAGCTCCAGGACGCCTCCTCCCACCTTTCCCCAGAGCTCTCCAAAAGTCTCAAGGGCCCTTATCATCCAGGGCAAACCCCAGCCAACTGGTAATACTCTTGGTTCCCTTGAGGTACCCCCTCGTCCAGACCCTGGACACCTTTGAAAAAAGTCCAGGTCCTCAAAACCCACCCCAGAAGTCTACGAGTTGTTTGTTTTGCCAGTCCTGGGGCTCAACTTGGGGCCTGGGCACTGTCCCTGAGCTTCTTTTGCTTAAGGCTAGCACTACTTCCACTTGAACCACAGCACCATTTATGGCTTTTTCTGTGTTTGTGGTGTGGAGGAATCGAACCCAGGGCTTCGTGCATGCTAGGCAAGCACTCTTACCACTGAGCCCCATTCCCAGCCCTCCGCCCCCCATGGGCTTTCTTGAGGGCCTCAGGATCCATATATTTCTCAGCTCCCAAAGAGACCCCCCCACACACAAGAATCCCAAGACTTTGCAGAGCCAGCTCCAAAACCCCAACCTCCCCCCCCCCTCCAACGCCCCACACCCCAATTCTTTTCACATTTTCACAATCGCTAGAGGCGCGTGATTTCCTACGTGGAGGAGGAGTGTACGCTGAGACGCCTATCGGCAACGGATTGGTCCGGCATAAGTTTCAGTCCCGCCTCTCTCCAGCGCTGATTGGCTGAAGGCGTTTTTCTGAACGGCCCGCCTTCGGCGAGCAGCGCACTATAAAAGGAGCCGCCCGGGCCACCCCCTCCAGCAGAAGCGCGCGCCAGTCCCGCGGATCTGTGTCTTGCTTCAACAGTGTTTGGACGGAACAGACCCGGGGACTCCTCCTTTCCACTACCAACTAACTGCCTCTCCACTCACCACCTCTGACCCTTATCTTCTCGCCCGTCGCCTGCTTCCAGGACCAACCAACGCCGGTTTTTTTCTGTGGTTAGCTCTGTAACGACGACCAGCCATGACCTCCCAGATTCGTCAGAATTATTCCACCGAGGTGGAGGCTGCCGTCAACCGCCTGGTCAACTTGCACCTGCGGGCCTCCTACACCTACCTCTCTCTGGTAAGTCCCCCCCCGCCCCCCGACGTCCCCGTCCCTGCAACTGGGCCCAGTTCCCCATGGCGCTCTGCGGACCTGTGCGCATGCGCGCGGGCCTTCTTTGTTTGGCGCGGTAATCCGAGGGTGGAGTCGACACGCCCGGCGTCTCCTCCCTCCCGCTAACCTTTGTTGCCTCCATTTCTTTCCTCAGGGCTACTATTTCGATCGCGACGATGTGGCTCTGGAGGGCGTGGGCCATTTCTTCCGCGAGTTGGCGGAGGAGAAGCGTGAGGGCGCCCAGCGCCTCCTGAAGATGCAGAACCAGCGCGGCGGCCGCGCGCTGTTCCAGGATGTGCAGGTAAGGGCGGCTGGGTAGCTGGGCCATATTTCCCAGCGGGCCTTGCACACGGGGCAACATGTTTTTAAAACCGTCGAGGTGCTGCGTGGGCTTCTGGGAATTGTAGTTTTTCTTGGGGGGGGGGTCCTTTGAGGACGGACTGCCTGGTTCTGAGCCATTTTTCTGCCTTTTGTTTAGAAACCTTCTCAGGATGAGTGGGGTAAAACCGTGGAAGCCATGGAAGCTGCCCTGGCCCTGGAGAAGAACCTGAACCAAGCCATTTTGGATCTTCATGCCTTGGGTTCTGCTCGCACAGACCCCCATGTAAGTGCCCCGTCTGCCCGGGCAATTCTACAGCTTTACCTACTTCCTATTCTTTGTTGGCAAGACATAGCTGTTGTTAGCACCTTTCCCAGGGCTTGTATTCCTAATTTCTGCTCTCTACCCTTTCAGCTCTGTGACTTCCTAGAGAACCACTTCCTGGATGAAGAGGTGAAGCTCATCAAGAAGATGGGCGACCACTTAACCAACCTTCGCAGGCTGGGGGCAGCCCCTCAGGCCCAGCTGGGCGAGTATCTTTTCGAACGCCTCACCCTCAAACACGACTAGAAAATTCCACAGTCCAGCAGCCTTTGAGGGGCCATCTCTGCCTCACCAGATATCAGGGTTTTCGCCCGAGCTTCTGCCTCTAGCCATTGGGAAACTTCCTAACTAACCATCCTGGAGCCCTTCCCAAGCCTTGGACCAAATGAAAATAAAGCTTTTTGCAGCATCTGGTGGTTCTGTGTTTGTTTGGGGTGCAGGATTGAAAGTGGAGCCCCCTGGGGCGGAGGGTTGCACATGGTGACAGGGAGAGGCAATTTGGCCCTACTCCTATTTTCTTGCCTGTTCTACAGGAGGCTCCTATTGTGAGGTATGTTACTGAGATTTCTCTGCTTGCCTGCTGGGTGTTAATTGCCCCTCCAAATTGGTAGACCCTAGTTGGGGTGCAGAGTCCTAGTATAGCCAGACCTGAGTGGTGGCAGCAGTCTGCCAAATGTAAGGAACCCTGAAATGCCTGAAGAGAGAATAGGAACTTGGCTCCAATGGTAAGAGTGCCTACCACCAGACAAGCTCAAAACCTACTGCTGCCAAAAAAGAAAAAAATGTGGGGTTAGGTGCTGGTGGTGGCTTAGTCTGCAGTCCTACTCAGGAGGTTGAGATCTAAAGATCCCACTTCCAAGCCAGCTTGGGCAGGAAAGTTTTTGAGATGCATCATATGCAGCTAACCATCAAGAAGCCAGAATTGGAGTTGTGGTTTTAAGTGGTAGAGACTCACTAACCTTGAGCAAAAATACAAACACAAAACCCGTCAGGGATGTTTCCAGGCCCAAAGTAAGTTCTGGGGACTGAACTTTTTGGGCTTGAAACCACTTAGCTACACCATCCAATCCCTGAAATAGCCCTGCTCAAATAATTATGAAGTCTTTAAGCACTAGGCCAAGCAGACAAGACAAATAGAACGCTTTGAGCAAAGATAAGATAAACTTTGTGGCAATTAGCTTTCACACCTGCCTCCCATTCATTCCAAAAACTGGTTATGTTGGGCTAGAAAAATACAAGCCCAAACCAGTGCAATTCCAGTGCTAGAAACGCCATACATCGCCACGTGGATCTGAGCTGCCAGGGTCACAGGATGCCTATGCCTGGGAGGGGGCTAAGCTGGATCCGGGAGTCCAGCACAGAACAAGGATGTGAAACTTGGGGCCAAATTCTCCAAACAGGAACTGGACACACCCACAGGGCCATAGAGGGCCTCCTTAGGTGCAAACTACAAAAAAACTGCTGTGTCACTTTTGACCCTTCTGCCCACTTTATGGTAGGAGACAACTTTTTTGTTTGCATGTGGTCAGTTATTACCAAGGACCTGCATTTACCTATTTAAATAACTACCCAGGGCATGTGACTGCCCTGTCAGACATCACTTTTTTTTTTTTTTTGGGTCCGGTCATGGGGCCTGAACTCTGGGCCTGGGTGCTGACTCACAGCTCTTCAGCTCAAGGCTAGCACTCTACCACTTGAGCCACAGCGCCACTTACGGCTTTTTTCTTTTTGGCTTATGTGGTGCTGAGGAATCGAACCCAGGGCCTCAGGCATGCAAGGCAAGCACTCTACCACTGAGCCACCTTCCCAGCCCCCATCACTTAACTTTCTGACTCTTGCAAACCAAGTCCCAACTAAGGGATGAGACCTGCCTTCAATGACCCTGGAATCTTGCAGCAGAAATCCAAACTTTCCTGATAACAGATAAAAAAGAGACCAGGGAGGAAACCAGGGTATTGGAGGAACCAGAAGTAATGCCCACCAAGTGTTCCTGTCCAACCACACTTGGCATTCTTAAATATAGATGTATTTTTTTTCCATCTCTGGACACAACTCGAATTATACGGATCTGCCTTTCCCCCCTCCCAATAGCAAACCAAGCATTTCTTCAGATAGCACAGCACACATGAGGGGCCCCTCCCTTCCATGGAAGCTGGGGGATGGAAAAGATTTGAGGTAATTGTGGGGTTTCACCAACCCAGTAGACTCAGTTCAAGGTCATGGGAAAGGGAACCAGCGGGTGCACAGTGGTAAGGTTCTAGATCCAACAGCAGGAAGTGAGGATCCAGTGGTTTCATGGTGGGTTGAGGGGTCAGAGGAAGGGCCAGGCAGCCACCTCTGTCCTCAGCAGGAGTCTGGTGGGTACAAGAAGACTCTCAAGACACAAGAGAGAGCTCAGACTCAGAGTAGAATCTGGCCCAGAAAACGCCAGAAAAAATGTCTACACTGAGACTGTGTGCTCTACAGAAGGGATTGGGGTGTGTGTGTGTGTGTGTGTGTGAGACCACATGGTTTGGCCACCCCCCCCCCCCCAGCTTAGATAAAATGTTGGGGAGAAGAGCAAGACTTGGGAGTCTTCCAGAAAGACTTGGACCCCCAGGAAGGCCAGCCCATGGGATCCTGAGTTCTGAGTTGAAATGGAAGACCACCTGCATTCCCTTCAGTCCCTGAAATAGTCCTAGCTCTGGAGTTAGCTGTTCCAGGAAAGGATGGTTTCCAAATCCTGGTGGTCCCCAGGCCTGAGCCCTGCATATTCTGTATGCTGTGGGGTTTGCGAGCCCCCAAAGGGCTCTAGGACCCTCCAACCTGGAAAGCAACAGGTCAGGGGTACTAAGCACTGTGGCTCCAGGCAGAATGGCAGATTCCTGGCGAGGCGACTAGGATCCAGGCCAAGCCTGGCAGAGGGGACTCCAGGGCACAGGTAATGAATGCATTCTGAAGTCCAAGAAAGGCACAGCGTTGCGGACTGTGGAGTTGGGGGGAAGGAAGGGGGCTGGAGTGTATGGCAGAAAGGACTGGGCTGTGTGTGGCCCTACACAAATGTGGGTCCCCTACTCTGGATTTGGAGTGGGGTTCACCGCGCATGCGCCCCCTGAAGACGAAGGGATGTGGTGGGAGCAGGTGGGGAGTGCGGGGCAGAGGGCTTAGTTGCGCTCCTCACCCAGGGAGCTGGCGGGGCTGAGGGGTTCACTGGGCGTGCTGACCAGACTGGAGGGCGCCGTGTCCACGGAGTTACTGCGCTTGCTCGCGCCCGTGGACGAGGCGCAGGAGCTGCGGCGCGGCCACTCGGGCGCGCGGATGTTCCGCCGGTCCTTGGCGGCCTCCTCCTCTTCATCATAACGCTCGCCATCTTCCAGTAGCCCATCCCGAGGCTCTTCCTCATCCTCACTCTGGTGCGGGCTCGAGTGTCGTGACAGCGAGGGCGATGGAGGCACTGAGGCCGGCCGTGGGTAGCGGTACCCCTGGGTCTGCATCCCCACGGGGGGGGGCACAAACCACAGAGCAGTGAACCGAAGTGCCTGACAGCATGAGAGCTGTATCCAGCCCCCCCTTACGGCAGCCCTGGAGAGCCCCAAATTCCTGCCCAGCCCAGCCCTTTAGCTCCTGCTCCAGCAGAGATCTCGGGTGCACTCACCGCTTCGGCCTCGTGGGGCTCATACGTGAAGTGATCAGGAAAAGCCTTGGCCAGCGCCATGTGTCGCGCAGACATGTAGTACTGAGGGGGATTGGAAGGGGGAGGAGTCAAGACTTGCCAGGCCCTGCCCCCTGTCCAATCAAAGATGGAGATCCTGGCCATACCTCCTAATGCAAATGAGCACATTCAGCCACATCTACCCAATCTCCCCTATTCAAATATCCATCTTCCTGGCTCCACCTCTTATGTAGATAAGTCAAGCTGTGATTGGACAATGCCCTATGCCACACCTCCCTAATAGGGACCCAATTCTTAAGTCAGGTCCGGCTTTAACCACACACTTAGGCAAATGAGATCAAACAGACCCAAGTTCTCCCTGGGGAGAGAGAGAGAGAGAGAGAGAGAGGAGAGGGGAGAGAGAGAGGAGAGAGGAGAGAGGAGAGAGAGGAGAGAGGAGAGAGGAGAGAGGAGAGAGAGAGAGAGAGAGAGAGGAGAGAGAGGAGAGAGAGAGAGAGGAGAGAGAGGAGAGAGAGAGAGAGGAGAGAGGAGAGAGGGGGAGAGAGAGGAGAGAGGAGAGAGAGGAGAGAGAGAGAGAGAGAGAGATGAGCTCAGGGTCAGGGCACTGTCCCTTAGCGTTTTTGCTCAAGGCTGGAGTTCTACCAATTGAGGCATTGCGTCACTTCCTGCTTCTTCATGGTTAATTGGAGTTACTTTCCTGCCTGGGCTGACTTTGAACCAGGATCTTCAGATCTCAGCCTCCACTCTCAGCCTCCACAGTAGCTAGGATTACAGGCATGAGCCACCACCAGCTTGTTTTTGAAACAAAGTCTCCCTAATGCAGCTCAGGCTGGCCTTAAACTCTTCTTTCTCCTGCCTTGGTCCTCCTAATAGCTGGGGTTACAGAAGTGCCCCATCACTCTTGGCAGAGATGAATTTCTGAAAAGCACAAGCCACTGTTCTTTGAAGATCCTGCCACATGCCCCTGCCTCCTGAGGCTACAAAACCAGAGCTAGAGGTGGCTGAGAGAGGGCCATACCCGGCCTAGATATTTCCAATCCAAAAGGTCGGAGAGGCGCTCCGTGCGGTTCCGCTGGATGATGCGCTGTCGCCTGCTCTGCTGGCAGAAGCTGTAGAGGAAGGACGTGAGCTGCGAGCAAGAATCATCCAGGCTGCGGAAACGCCGGTCCAGGATATAGATGCCTGCAAGAGGCCAGGACCAAGGGCAGGGGTGGGGGGATCAGAAATAGGTCTGGAGAGACCTTCATCCTTCCAGACCTTCTGCACCAGGACTCTTTTATTTAGCTCCCATCCAGCAACCCAAGAGGCCACATTCCTCCTGGCTCAGGATCCTGGTGTACCAGGTCTTTGGGAACCCCCAGGGCACTGACCGTAAGCTGAAGGGTCTGCAATATGCTCTTCCATGAAGCAGCCAAAACCGGAGAGGTTGGTGGAGATGCTGGGGATCCCCATAACAGTGCACTCAGCTGTGGGAAGGCCAGAGAAAGGCCAGTTTAGCATTCATTCATTCATTCCCTGCTTTGGTATGCCTGCTTCCAAACTAGTGACAAACCCTCAACAGTGCCACCTACTGGCCAGACAACCAACCAGTCACTGAGCTGGCACAAAACCCTGCCAGGACTTTGGCTACATACATTCTGTATCACAAAGTGGAATGGAAATTTTGTCAGAAAAAGCAGCTTACCTGCCTTTCCTGCTTTTTCATGGTTAATTGGGGTTACTTTCCTGCCTGGGCTGGCTTTGAACCAGGGTCTTCAGATCTCAGCTTCCACAGTAGCTTACTTTTACTTAGCTCTCGTAATCTCACGGTATTTTATGTTTGTTTGTTTGCGTTTTGATGCCTGTACTGGGGCCTATGCTCAGGGCCTCATGTTATCACTTGTTTTTTTTTGTTTTTGTTTTCTCAAAGCTGGTGCTCTACCACTTGAGCCATACTTTCACTTAAAGATTTTGGGTAGTTTTTTTGTTTTTTTTTGTTGGTCGTGGGGCCTGCATTCTGGGCCTGGGTGCTGTCCCTCAGCTCTCCAGCTCAAGGCTAGCGCTCTACCACTTGAGCCACAGCGCCACTTCCAGCTTTTTCTGCTTATGTGGTGCTGAGGAATCGAACTCCAGGGTCTCATGCATGCAAGGCAAGCACTCTACCACTAAGCTACCTTTCCATCTCGTGATTTTGGGTAGTTAATTGGAGATAAATCTCACAGACTTTTCTGCCTGCACTGGTTTCAAACCATGGTCCACAGATCTCAGCCTCCTAAGTAGCTGGGATTACAGGCATAAACCATCCACACTTGGCTTGAACTCCAGGCCTTGTGATTACTAGATAAACACTCTACCACTAAACTACATTCTCGGCTAAGACCTAGATTTGATCCCCAGCATCCCCCTCAAAACAGAAAACAATAAAGCAGCTTGATTAAAAACAGCATGAAGAAGAGATATGTTTGTGGGTGAGAAAGATCACAGCAAAGTATTCTCAAAATGAGGGAGGACTATAAGCTATTCCAACTCAGACCATGGGGCTAAAGTGTGCTACAAGGCAGGCATGATGATGCCCACCTGTAATCCCAGCTACTTGAGGGACAGAGGCAGGAGGAACATAGGTTCCAAGCTAGTTTTGGCAAAGTTAGCAAGAGCCTGTCTTTTTTTTTTGGGGGGGGGGGTGGTCATGGGGCTTGAACTATGGTTCTGGGCACTGTCCCTGAGCTCTTCAGCTCAAGGCAAGTGATCTATCACTTGAGCCACAGCGCCACTTCCAGTTTTCTGGTGGTTCATTGGAGATAAGTCTCACTGACTTTCTTGTATGGGTTGGCTTTGAACTGTGATCCTCAGATCTCAGCCTCCTGAGTAGCTAGCATTACAGGCGTGAGCCGCTGGCACCCAGCAGCAAGATCCTGTCTTAAAAACAAAACAACAACAACAAAAAAGAGCTCAGGCTGTAGCTGAGATGGTAAAGGGCTTGCTTAGGATGCACTAGGTCTGGTGTTTCATTCTAGCAGGGAAGCAAAAGAAAAACAAAACAGCCATTAAGAGGCAGGTACAGGTGGCTCATGCCTATGAGAATCCTAGCTACTCAGGAGGCTGAGATCTGAAAATCATGGTTCAAAGCTAGCCCAGGTAGGAAAGTCCATGAGATTCTTACCTCCAATTAAGCACCAGAAAACCCGGAAGTGGTGCTGTGGCTCAAAGTGGAAGGGCATTAGCCTTGACCAAAAGAGCTTAGGCACAATGCCCAGGCCCTGAGTTCAAGCCCCATGACTGATTAAAAAAAGTAATAAACTAATTAAAAAAAAAAGAGGAAGGAAAGGTCGAAGGGCTGACCCCGAGATGCTCTACTTACCTGGTGTGTAACCCCAAGGTTCGTAGTAGGATGGGAAAACCCCAAGGTGGCAGCCACGGACAAACTCCTCATAGTCCACAGGGAGCAGTGGGCTGGTGGAGGAGAGAAACTCAGGGTGGAAAATTACCTGGTAGTGAAAAAGCAGAGCTTACTTCATCCAAGCACTTTATTTATTTATTTTTGGTCAATCATGGGGCTTGAATTCTGGGCTTGGGCGCTGTCCCTGTGCTCTACAGCTCAAAGTGAGTGCTCTACCACTTGAGCCACAGCACTACTTCCAGTTTTCTAGTGGTTTATTGGAGATACGAGTCTCACGGACTTTCCTGCCTGGGCTGGCTTTGAACCGTGATCCTCAGATCTCAGCCTCCGGAGTAGCTAGGATTACAGGCGTGAGCCACCGGTATCCGGCCCAAGCACCTTATTGTAGCCATATCCTGAGAGACCAGAGTGGCCCGAGAGGGTGAACCACTTAACTAAAGTCAAACCACATAGGAGTGGAGTGACAAGAGAAAGATACAACTCAATTCTGTTTGACTCAGAAGCCAGAAGGCTTTCTAAATACAGCAATGCCTTTGATAGACTAGAAGGCTGGGGAGTATTGACAACCAGGTGTGACCTCCGCCCCCTGCTGGCCAGGCCCCTCACCTTCACCCTGTCAGCACTACTGTTGAAGAGGCCGATCCGGCGGATGGTGGTCAGGATGGGGTCCGAAGAGTCATCCAGCATATTGTGGGTGCACACAGGGGGGAAAGACTGCCGCTGTAGAGGCCACAAGTGGGGTTGGGATCATCAGGGAAGGGACAGGGGACTTCCTGCTTCCCCCATGGGGTCATGCTAACCCAAGGATCCAAGAAAAGCGTAATTCCCACCAGGCTACAGAGAAGGGTACCAGGAGTTGTAAAGCCCTACTTGGCCACATCATTAAAAGTTGCCCCACCCCTCATGATCCTAAAAGAATTACAATTCTCATCTTATCTTTGAGGCAAAGTCCATGATGACATATCCCATGATATTTTGGGAAGTATCACTATGTTGTCCAGTACTCTTGCCTTTGGTATTAAAGGAACTCCAAAGAATCTAAATTACCCGGTCAATAGAGGTAGACATTGCCCACATGATAGACAGCTCCAGGGGCTGCTGGGAATTATAATTTTCTTATGACCCAGCCTTCCTGCCCCTCCCAGCCCAAAGAAACTACAATTCCCAGAAGTCACCGTAGCAAGACAAAAACTAAAGCCACAGGAAGCCACATAGGCTGCTAGAAGGGATAGTTCAGCAACTGTGGTATCATTGCTCATTAAATACTCTTGTAACATTCGGTGGGCTAATGCAGAAGCCTAAGAAATTACAGTTCCCAGAACCCTAGGTTTGCATAGATCATGAGTAAAGCCTTAGTGACTTTGAAAATGATTGTCTGGCCAAAATGGACTTCTTTGTGTACTTTAGTGACTAAATTGTCGTCCTTCAGGCTCACTGACTCCAATCTCAGGTACCAAATTCTCCAGATCCTCCCAAAGAATGAGGAACACCAATTCCCAGAAGCCTTTGTGGAAAGGGAAACCCAAAGAAGGCTGAAGGGGCTGCTGGGAGTTGTAGTTCTATTTTGTAGCTACCATTCTGTTTGCTAGCCCTGTAATTTCATCAACCTGGGGAATCAAGCTGTAACTTCCTAGAATATTGAATAAGGTACAGGCAATGGGGTAAGAAACTGGTTTCTGAGTTTTCAAAGCTTACCAGGGAATGCTAGGTATGTTAGCTCACTTGTCTTCATCCCCCAAAGAGGCTCAAGAAAACTACCATTCCCACAAGTCCCTGGGAGCAGAGGCAGAGCCAGTACTAGGCAAAGCCCAAGGCAGATCTGATCATTGAAATTCTCTAAGTATGTTGACTCAATACTCCTTTGAATCTTTGTCCATCCACCAAGCTACCCAGGGGAACTACAACTCCCAGTAGACCTTGCAACTTTTTTTGTGGGGGCGGGGAGTCCAGTCATGGGGCCTGGGCGCTGTCCCTCAGCTCTTCAGCTTAAGGCTAGCACTCTACCACTTGAGCCACAGCGTCACTTCTGGCTTTTTTCTTTTTTCTTATGTGGTGCTGAGGAATCAAACCCAGGGTCTCATGCATGCAAGGCAAGAGCTCTATCACTGAGCCACCTTCCCAGCCCCATGACCTTGCAATTTTTAAGTCACACAAAAGAAAATGATCCTGCCCCAAGATAGTTTTCTTGGGTATTAAAGTTGAAAAGTATCACTCTAGGAAAAACTCCCAGCAGTCTCTGGGGCTAGCATGGCCGGCATCTCTGAGATTGGTAACTGCCACCTCTTTGCTAAGGGATCTAAACCATACCTGTGTGGCAAAGATGGCCCTCTTCATGATAGTGAAGTCTTCTTTGTCCAGCATTTTATTCATGTCTGGGAGGCTCCCCCTGGAAGGAGGGTGGGAGCAGGTGTGTGGGAATGGGGTGCTGAGAGGAGCTAGGGTCCATCAGGGTACAGAGCTGGGGTGGGTACTCACACCAGTAGGGATTCATAGAGCTTCCTCCCGAATTTCTCCTTCACCGTGTTGGCGGTATCCCTGGAAAGAGCATACGAGTGTCACATACAGCTGCCATTTACTGACGCATTTAGCAGGGAAACTGAGGTGTGAGCCGAGTAGCCAAGGCCCTGGAAGGCTTGGTGTCCTGGTACTGTGCATCCGTAGGAAGCCAAGGACAGACAGACAGCCTTTCCTCTGGATTTGAGTGAGTCATTCACCACAGGAGAATAAAAATAGAACCAAGCTCAGGGACTTGTGGTGAGAACTCAGGAAAGCCACGAGAGAACCTGGTACAGCGCAAGCCTTCCAGAAATGTCAGCTATTATTAGGCCTGTAGTGGCTGTGGAAATGGCCGTACTAAGACTCATTTGATTAAACAAGAAGATGGAGTCTGAGAAAGGACAATCTGGGCCCATAAAGGAAGCCGGGCGGGGGGGGGGAGGGGGGGTAGCTCACACCTGTAATCTTAGCTACTTAGGAGGCTGACCTGAGGATCACAGTTTGCAGCCAGCTGAGGCAGGAAAGTCCATAAGACTCTTATCTCCAATTAGCCAGAAAAAAGCTGGAAGTGAAGCTGTGGCTCAAGTGGTAGAGCACCAGCCTTGAGTGTAAAAGCCCAAAGAGAGTAGGAGGCCCAGAATTCAAGCTTCAGGACCAGCACAGATATTCATACTCTCTCTCTCTCTCCCCTTTTTCTCTCCCTCCCTCCCCCCTTTCTCATTGCCCTACAACCCCACTGCTATCAATCTTTGCATGGTTCTGGTCTCATTTTCTAACCCACTCCCCTTGGATAGGCTACTTTAGACACGGCGGGATGCTTTGTCATTCCTCAAAAATACCTCAGGACCTTTGCACTTGCTGTTACTTATGCTTGAAATTACACACACACACACACACACACACACACACACACACACACACACACACACACACACGTGGAGAGAAACAGGGGTTTGCCAGTTGCTGGCATGAGGTTGGAGATCAGAGCTCTGGTCATGTGGTCACCTTTCTCTAGGCCATGACTCCACCTTGCCCGAGGTGGAGGTGTGCTAAGCCAATGACATCACTGGGAACCGGTGGGGTAGGGCCATTGTGTTGCAAGGGACCACTGAGACTCTGGGAGAAACATTAAGTGCCCATTTTGGAAAGATGCCTGCGGGGGAACCAGATGTGTGCTACTGACCAAAGCTGCTTGCGCACCGCTTGACCCTTCAGGGTCTCCACGTTGAAATTGTTGGTCCGAGCCGGCATGATGAAGAAGGCCACCACTGTCTGTTCACTGCCGTTCACCTGGAACCAGGAAAAGGGGAAGGTGAGGCAAAGGTAGTAGGGTCTCTGGGCCCTTTTGCCATTCTAGGACCAGTAGGACACAGCCATCCCCCTTTCTGCCAAGGGGAATTGTGGGATCAATTGCTACCCCTCTAAACCTCTGACCTTTCTTTTCTTTCTTTGCCTCTTTGGCTGGTGTTCTACCACTTGAGTCATAACTCCAGCCTGCCCCTTTTTTTTTTTTTTAGGTCAGAGACCAGGATTCAAACTGGGTTATCTGTTGCTTTTTCACACTGGCTAGCATTCTACCAACTTGAGCCAGACCTCCAACATCCAGCCTGGCTTTTTGTTGGTTATTCTATTTTTATTTTAGGGGCTTGGGTGATAAGCCTGAGCTTTTTCACTCAAGGCTAGTGCTCTACCACTTTGGGTCCCAGCTCCAATTCTGGTTTTCAGGTGATAAAAATCTCAAGGACTTTGCTGCTGGGCCTGGCTTTGAACTGTGATCCTCAAATCTCAAGCCTCCTGAGTAGCTAGATCACAGGTGCCAGTCAGGCACACAGCTTGTTGATTATTTTAGAGATGGAGTTTCATAAAGTTTTCTATCTAGACTGGCTTCAAACCTCAATCCTCTGGATCTCAGCCTACTGAGTAGTTAGGATTGGTGACATGAACCACCAACACCAAGCTATCATTTTTTTCAAGACACAGCATCACTAAATTGCCCAAGGCTGATCTCAAACTCAAAACTCTTCTTAAAAAAAAAAAAAAAAAGTCAGGCACTGGTAGCTCATGCCTGTAATCCTAGCTACTCAAGAGGCTGAGATCTGATGATCAAGATTCAAACAGCCCAGGCAGGAATGTCAGTGAGACTCTAATCTCTAATAAAACCACCAGAAAAGTGGAAGTGGTGATGTGGCTCAAGTGGTAGAGCACTTGCCTTGAACTGAAGAGCTGAGGGACAGCGCCCAGGCCAAGAGTTTAAGTGAAAGAAAGAAAGGAAGAAAAGAAAGAAAACAAGCAAGCAAGCAAAGAAAGGCAGGCCAGTGCTGGTGGTTCACGTCTGTAATCCTAGCTACTCAGGAGGCTGAGATCTGAGGATCACAGTTCTAAGCAAGCCCTAGCAGGAAAGTCCAAGAGACTCTTATCTCCAATAAATCACAGAAAAAGCCCAAAATAGTGCAGTAGCCAAAACGGTAGAGTATTAGCCTTGAGCAAAAGGAGCTTAGGGACAGTGCCCAGGCCTAGAGTTCAAGCCTTAGAACCAGAAGAACAAAACTGAGAAGAGGATCTCCCTCTATAGCACTGGCTGGCCTCAAACTCCCAACCTTCTTGCTTTAGCCTTCTGAGAGGCTGGGTGACTAGTGTGTTGGACTACATCTGGCCTTTGCACCCCTTTCTGGGACAATACAACCTGCACCAAACCATGGGGTTTCCTAACTTCACATCCCAAGTTCTCTTTCTCCCCAGGGCTCTTGACTGCCCTTTGCCCCTGACCACCCTTGCCCCAGGCCTCACTCTGAGTAGATAGTTGAGCCGAGCCAAGGCCTCCAGGAAGACGTCAGCCCCCTTGTTGGAGAACTCATAGCGGCCAGCAATGAAGAAATACAAGGTCTTGTCCAAGTTGAAATCAAGGTGCCTAAAGAAGCCACATGGCATGGTGAAGCCCAACACCTTCACACTCTACTGCTGTGCTCAAAACTACAAATCCCAGAAGCTACAGGGACAGAGTGTTTCAGACAATGCAAAGCATCATGGGGCCTCCTGGAAGTTATGGGCTCTTTTCTCCTCTGATGGAAGGCTACTTTATCAGCCAGTCCATTGTTTCAGGAGATGATGAACGCCTAGGTGTCCCAGGATTCAAACACAGGAGCCCAGACCCCACTCTTCCTCCCTTAGATTCAAGAGTCCAGACCCCAGCCTCCTCCCTCCAGATCCCAGTTTAGGCTCCAATCCTCCTCCCTCAGACCCAAGAGTCTGAGCTCCGCTCTTCTCTTTCAGACCTAGGTGCTTAACCCACATACCCATAAAAGTGGCCCCGCACAAACTCCTGGATCCTAGCTTTGCTCTGTGCATGGAGGTTCTGGAACTCGTGCATAGCAGAGAACTTCTTCACGTTCAGTCCATTGGGGGTCACAATGTCTGGGAGGGTGAACAAGGTCTCATGTCACTCAGATGCATGTGGTAGAATGACTACAAGAAAGGGAGACTCCTGGACTTCTACAACTTTTGTTTCAATGGCTCTTCTGTGAGCTTGCTAGTGACTCATGTACCTGCCACCCAGATGTCTTACTTGCTTATGTTGGAAAGCAGTCAGGTCTCCCCAACTCTTGGAAAAGGCTGACCAGACAGGACTTTCTTTTTTTTTATGATTAAATATCCCCAACATATCCCCTGCTTCTCCTAAGACATACTCTAGCCCTTCAGTCCTCCTTCAGGAACTTGATTGTTTCCTTTACTCATAGAAATTAAAGGCTGTCGATGAAAAACTACAATTCCCATCAACTCCTAGGGCAATGAGCTTAGACCACAGGTATTTCCAAGGCCTTCTGGGAGTTTGGATGTTCACCTTATGTTCACTGAAAATGGTGGGAGACTCAATTCCAACCTGATTTGTTTTTTCCTCAGCCAAGTCCAATCTACTTGCATTCCTTTCTTTCTTTTTTTGGTCCAGTCATGGGGCCCTCAGGCCTGGGCGCTGTCCCTCAGCTCTTCAACTCAAGGCTAGTGCTCTACCACTTGAGCCACAGCACCACTTCCGACTTTTTTCTTTTTGCTTATATGGTGCTGAGGAATCGAACCCAGGGCCTCAGGCATGCAAGGCAAGCACTCTACCACTGAGCCACCTTCCTAGCCCTTGCATTCCTTTCAAAAGACCACATTAGCTTTAGTATTTTACCATTTCTAAAAGTAAAACCTAGGAAACTACAACTCCCATCAGCCTTGAGCTGCTAGGCTCTGGAATGCAAGTCTCATTTATAAGGAGGTTACCACCAAGGCCTTCTGGGAGTTGTAGTTCTTTTCTGTCTAGAGTTAAACAGACTTGGTATTGGCCTTGGCATACACAGTTGCCCCCACCCACCTGGTTTCCTCTTGAGCAGGTGTTGAGCCTCGATGGCAGTGATCTGGGAGACGGTAGTGAAGACGTGAGCACAGTGGGCTGCTGCTCGCTCCATGCAGTAGCGATGATAGATTTGCCTCTCACCTGCTTCCTTGTCCACGTTGAACTGGGCAGGAATGTGGAGGGGCAGCCAAGTTAGGAGGATGGGAGAGAAGACAGGAAGTCTAGACTCCAGGGTGCTGGGAAGGTTAAGACTGGAGTCTGACTTCTGGGAGAGTTTGGTTTCCACAGCCTCGGGCTATCCTGCCCCGGTCACTCACATTCTCCAGGTTGTTGTAGAAGTCCACGGCTCCGGCACACAGGTACCTCCCCAGCAGTGTGGCATGAGTGGTAAAGATGGTGGCCACAGGCAGTCGCCGGGCACGGCAAAGACACAGCCCGATGCCTGCCAGCCACTCGTGGAAGTGGGCGACCACATGGGGCTTGTCTTCGCTCTGGGCCAGGAACTATGGGGCAACAGGCATGGGGTCATTGTGTCTCCAGTGTGTGCTGGGAAAGGAATCAGGAACCTGCCACGTGGACAGGGAAGCAGGGGAGAGGTGATACCACCAGCACCACAGCATCATCACTGCACACACAGGCACCAGTTCTGTGAGATGGGGGGCGGGGGGGGGGGGAGGGAGGGGTTCCCCACTGGGCCTACCTCGCCCAGAAACCAGGTGGTGAGGAAGCCAAACAAGACAGCATCGTTGGCCTCCCGGTCGTACCAGGGCACCCCAATATTACAAGTGTCCCAGAGCTCTCCTTTCCAGCGCTCCAGGGCCCACGCAGAGGCACCCACATCCAGGAGTACCACCAGGGGGCCCCCTTCGATCAGCCAGCGCCCAAAATACACCTAGGAAGAGGGGTACAGACAAAGCTCAGAGCTGGCACTGTTCTGGGGACTCAGGACTTGAAGTCTAGTGCTCATTGCAGGACCTTAGTTTCCTGCTGCCTTATTTTGCCAACCTGGGAAATCATTTCTCCCGTCCGCCGCTGCCTCATTGCTGAATCTGCTGTCAGACTTCTCTTTGTTGTTACTTGACTACACTGGGAACTCCATCTGTCTGTCTGTCTGTCTGTCTGTCTGGTAAAGGTCTTGTTATTTAGCCCAGCTGGCCTCAAACTCTCAATCCTCCTGCCTTAACCTCCCAAGTGCTAGGACTGACTATAGGTGTGCACCACCTTACTTGGCTAAGAAATCAGTTCCTGGCCAGGCGCCCGTGGTTCACATCTATAACCCTAGCTACTCAGGAGGCTGAGATCTGAGGACCGCGGTTCAAAGCCAGCCTGGCAAAAAAGTCCATGAGACTCTTATCTACAATAAACCACTAGAAAACCAGAAGTGGCACTGTGGCTCAAGCGGTAGAGTGCTGGCCTTGAGCTGAACAGCGCAAGGACAGCACCCAAGCCCAGAGTTCAAGCCCCATGACTGACAAATAAATAAATAAATCAGTTCCTTTCTTCCCCCTCTCCTCCCAGTGTCCCTTTCACTATATAGTTATCACCTGCTACCCCTACCCCTTTGTCTATGTTATGTGATAGGATTTTTTTGTTGTTGTTTGAACTCAGGGCCTGGGTTCTGTCCCTGAGCTTCTTTTGCTCAAAGCTAGTGCTCTACCACTTGAGCCACAGCACCACTTTGACTTCTTTTGAGTTGTTTATTGGAGATAAGCGTCATATGGACTTTCCTACCTGGTCTGGCTTTGAACTACTATCCTCAGATCTCTGTCTCCTGAGTAGCTAGGATTACAGGCGTGCGCCCAGCCTGTGGTATGATTTTTAACCCCCACCCCCATCCTCTTTCTATGCCTTAGGTATTCATTTTTCTGTCCAGTACCATGTTCCTAAGACTTGCTGTCTCATTTTGGTCCCCACCACATTTCTCCACTGGCCCCTTTTCTCCTAAGACTACAGCCTTGGTTCTGGGCTGACTGCCACAGCTCTAACCAGCTCTAGCATCCTCTACCCCAACCTAGCGTTCCCCAGCCAGAACCTCACTTAATCCTCCTCCCCCTCCCAGCTGTTGTCTGCCCTTTAGCTGGGGGGCTATTCTTAGGAGCAGCTGTCATGAGGGAGGGACAAAGCTGCTCTGGGGTCTCTTCGGGACAAAGTCCCACCTGACTGGACTCCCAGGACACCCCCTCACCCTGAAACTGAGGCTAAGAATGAATGATATCAGCTTGTACCTTTTATCTTCAGCCTTGGGCTGCAATCAGCAGCCAATTACCCACCCCTGTTTAAGCCCCCACCTTGAGGCCCAGACTCTCCCCTCCTGTCTTTAGTCTTGTCTCCCGGCTTTGGGCCTTCCTCTCTCCCACTCCTTTCATCAATAGTCTTTCTTTCTCCTTCTAGGTCTTTCTCTCTGGGGCATTTGGAGCCTCTGTGCTGTATCTAAAAGAGGTACATTCCATTCCTTTGACGAGTGGGCCTCCTCGCTCCAGGCTACACTGTTTATAGTAATGATGATGGGGGGAAAATGACAATAACACACCTCATAGCAATAACTGCATGCACAAACTGTGCCACAGGATTCTGATTCTTAACTACGTCACCCCCACCCCAATAACAAACACACCAACACAGTGGACACCAAGGGTATGTTTGTGAGCCAAGACTCACGAAGCAGCAGGCAGAGAGAGGCTGAGTTTGAACTTCAGACTCCCTGAGTCCTGATCCCATCTGCCTGGCTCAGTCTGGCACAATTGCTTCACATCTTGTTTGTTCTTTTCTTTTTGTGCATGTGGGGTGGGGGAAGCAAGGCTGGGGTTTGAACCCAGGGCTTCGTGTTGGCTCCGTAGGTGCTCTCATCACTCAAGCCATGTCTCCAGCCCTTTTCTGCTTTAGTTATTTCTCCATTTTTTCCCCTTACTTTGGCCAGCCTGGGCTGTGATCTTCCTATCTACGGTCTTCTGTGTAACTGAGATGACACACGCCTAGTTTGTTAGTTGAGATGAGGGCTAAGTTTTTGCCTGGGCTGGCCTCAAACTGAGGTCTTCCTGATCTCGACCTCTCAAGTAGCTGGGATTACAGGTATGCACTACTGTGCCAGCTCTGTGTTTCTCTCTGGGTCTGTGGATCTTGATACATTTCTTAGTCATTAACAACGGCTCGTGTCATGGGAGGGAGTTGGAGGGGCACCTACATGGGTCTGCCTGGGACAGTGTCACCTGTGATTGTCCATGCCATGCTGTCCTTTGGGCTGGCCACCCTCACCTTGCAGCCTTTGCTATTCATGGAGTCCAGCGTCCTCTTCAGGGCGGGGGTCGGGGGTTCAATCAGCTCCACCTGTGTCCTCACACCCTGCTCCGTGTACGGTCCCACCAGATAGTAGTTGTCGCCCCACTCATCTCCTGTCACCTTTGCCTTCGTCTGCAGCACCGTGTAGATGCCACCCACTGCGAGACCAAGTGCATGAGGACAGGCCCCAGCCACGGTTCATAGGCCAGGGACCTGGGAGGAGGGGGGCGGGGGGGTGGTGGTGGTGAGGGGTGCTGGGGGGCATGGGAGAAGGCCTGGGAACCCATAAATCAAAGGAGGGGGGGTCAAGGGCTGGGAGCTGGGGAGGGAAAGAGGATGGCAGACATTGCAGATTATTGGATTCCAGGTTCTGAACTTCTCAGCTGTAGGGAGCTGGGTTTTTAATGAGCAGTCAGAATCCACCTAAATTGTTATTTCCTGCTCACCTTCCCTCCCCCACTTCCAGCATCCTAATGACTCTGCCAGCCTGTTTCCTAGTTTCCTCTCCCGAATTGCGGCCACGGGCCTATAGGGCCTCTGTCCTGGTGGCAAAGCCCAGATCATACTGAGAAACCCAGTAAAGCGAACCCTAAGATCTCAGTTCTTCTGAAGATGGAGACTGAGACAGCCCAGCTCCTCCCAGACCAGAAGCTCAGGCTCCCAGAGGCCTGGCCCACAGAAATGCAGCCCTGCCAGCCACTCCCATAGCAGGGCCCAGCCCCTGCCCAACTTAGGACTTCCCAACCTGCCCCATTCCAATCTACCCTGCACATAACAGAGGCCACAGACTCCTCTGTTCTTAGGAATTCATGGTTCAGGCTTTGAGTTCCTTCAAAATGAGCCACTTGGGCCCCCAAGGCTCTTCTATACTAGGATCTAAGAAAAAAGTCTCCAGTGCCCTTCAGTTTTTAACATTCAAAGGGAGCAGTTCCTCAGAAGTGCCCATCCCCACCTATGCATCCCACCCCCAACTACTCTGTCCCCCACAAGCCAGGGGAACACCCAGGGACCAACGTCTGAAACCCTAGCCACTCCCCCAGATTTGTGGCATCAGCCCTCACCTCCCCCCACCTCCAGCTCCTTCCCTGTCAGGACCTAAATCTCTGGTCTGGTCGGTCTCTCTCTCTCTCTCTCTCTCTCTCTCTCTCTCTCTTGGCCAGTCCTGGGGCTTGAACTCAGGGCCTGGGCACTACCCCTGAGCTTCTTTTGCTCAAGGCTAGCACTATACCACTTGAGCCACAGAGCGACTTCCAGCTTTTTCTGTGTCTGTGGTGCTGAGGAATTGAACCCAGGGCTTCATGCATGCTAGGCAAGCCCTCCACCACTGAGCCACCTTCCCAGCCTCTCTGGTCTCTTGAAAGCCCCCTTCCCAGGACCTAAACATCTTTCAGCGTAGTATTCTGTTTCCCTAGGGGTACAGGGCCTGGGAACCTCCTTCCATCTTAAGTCTAGCTTCTCCCTTCCCTCCAAGGCCTAGGACATGTTCTCCAACCCCTCCTGAAGGACACAGAAGTCACAGGCGTCTTGCCCAAGACCCAAGATTCCCTCGGGTAGCTCGGTGTCCCTGCGTGTCAGAGTTCCGGACCCCCACCCCTCCCCCCTCCCGACCGTCCTCCTCCCCTCGCGGTTCCCCGCTCACCCTTGTTGGCCACCTCCCAGGCCACCTCGAAGAGCACGGTGTTCTCCAAGTCGAATTCATCCTCCCAGTCATCCAGCCCCGGCAGGGAGGACATGGACAGAGTGCGGCTTAAAGGCATGACTGGTGTGGGAAGGGGACTCCAAGGACCACAGGCGGCGACCCCAGAGGTGTTCGGGGAGGGCACCGGGCGGGGTGAGCGGTCGAGTAGCGGCTGTCGGAAGCGTGCAATCCGCTCCGCTTCCGATTGCACGACCGCACCCCCGCCAGGAGCGTTCAGACCTGGGCAGGAGGCGGCCCCGGGCGTCACTGAGCGTGTCGGTGCCCCTGCAATGGAACCCGGCGGCCGCCAGGAGGCGGTGCCCGACCTCGGCCGCCGTCCATTGGTCCGCGCTCGGGGGGCGGAGTCTTCTGCGTCTCCTCATTGGTGGAGAGGATCGAGTTCGCTGGGTCCCGCACTGCCCGAGCGACGGACGCTAGCTCTAGGGGGCGGGGCTTGCGGCTGCGCCGAAAGGAACGGATTGCTTTTTAGATCTGTCAATCTTGAAGCTGGAGGCCCTAAAGTGGGGAGGGAAAAAAAGGGTGGGGCAAAGAGGAAAGGGAGCGTGGAGGACGTGTGGTTGTTGAAACAAGTGTCAAGAGTTTTGCAATCGGTCTCGGCAAACGTGGGGGCGGGGTTAGAGGGAGGAGGAGCCTGGAGGCAGGGCCGGGTGGGCGTGGCCTTGGCAGTCCGCCGCGCCCCCTAGACTTGATTTGCATATTCATGAACCAACGAGAATGTGGACGACCTGAGAGCCTAGAGGGACCAAAGGCCCCACTGAAGCACATTTCCGGTTCCGCTAGGACCCGGGCGGTTGGTGAGCATCATGGCAACCGTGGTAAGTGTCGGCGCGTGGAATCAGCCCGCACTATCAGATCTGAGGGCGGAGGGCTGGAGTCGGGACCCTTAGGTCTGAGGGAGGAGAAGGAAAATGGGCCTGGAGCCCTGCGTGTGAGGAGGAGGCTGGATCCCTGGGTCTGAAGGAGGAGGCTGGGGTCTGGACTCTTGGGTCTGAGGGAGGAGGGAACTGGACACCATCTGTCGTGGGTCTGAAGGAGCAGTGATTGCAGAGATATCTCTCTAGGGTCCCTTCTACTGGATACCACGGTGGCCTCTCCTTTTGCCCTTTCCTGCTCTCGTTCCTCGAGGGGCTTGAACTCGGGGCCTTGCCCTCTCGTGCAGCCTTTTCCCATTTGAGCACTGGAGACTTGCCTTGGTGATAGCGTCTAGCAGTCTTCCCCACCCGGCTTCAAACCATGATCCTCAGATCTTAACCTCTTGAGGATCTAATATAGATTACAAGTGTGAAACACCACTGGTTTAGTTTTGTTTTTTGTTGCTTTGCTTCCTTCGTAGCCCGGGCTAACCTGGAACTCTAGATCTTTCAGCGTCAGGTTCCCAAATTCTGGGATTATAGGTGTCCACGTGCCACATTTAGCTTCACTAATCTACATTATGTTTGTGGATTTGCTTTGTCTGGACATTTCATATAAATGAAATCATACAACATGTGTGTGTTTGTGTGGGTGGGCTTTTTTTTTTTTTTTTAAATAGGTAGTGGGGCTTGAACTCAGGGCCTGGGCGCTGTTCCTGGGCCTCTTTGTGCTCAAGGCTAGCACTCTGCCACTTGAGCCACAGCTCCACTTCTGGTTTTTGAGTGGTTAATTGGAGATAAAGTCTCATCAGGACTTTGGTGGGGGCTGGCTTCAAACCGCAATCCTCAGATCTCAGCCTCCTGAGCAGCTAGGATTACAGGCAAGAGCCACCAGTGCCCTGCCCAGCCCTTTGTTGCACTGGTTCTTTGCCTGCTTCTTGCTATTGCTAGGATGACAGGTGCATACCACCAGACCCAACTTCCTCCTTGGAAACAGGGGAGGAGGGTGCAGGGGTGTTTTCTGGTGAACTTTTTACTCATGCTGGCCTCAAAATGCAATCCTTTCAGTCTCATCCTCCTGAATAACTAGGATTACAGACATGAACCACCCCACCTGGCTAAGTACTTGTTTTTCTGTAGAGCTCTAGGGGCTCTTGAATTGTCCCCAGGGTTGTTTGCTTATGTTCCTCCCCATAAGAGAAGGGATGCTGTTGGCTACTCCTTAGGGAACTGGAGACAGGAAGCCTTGATCAACACCTGTCCCATGAGCTTGACCCTTCAGTCCAAACATGAGGTCCCAAGGAGAGTGACAGAAGGCTATACCCTTCATGAGACACATTTATTAGGGCCTAGAACAAAAGTCTACTTGGTGAATGAGAGATTGCACAGGGAGATTGGTTTTCCAAGGAAATCCCTTCATCTCTTAGACCATCCCAAGTCCCTTGAACCAGACTGTCAGGGGCTGTGGTCAGGGCAGACCTCCTTTAGAGGGTGATGTTTGATCTAATTTGGTGGGAGGCTGGGCCCAGTGGCTTCACATCTATAATTGTAGTTAGGAGACCTGAGGATCATGATTTAAAGCCAGCCCCCAGCAGAATCCCAGTGAGACTTTATTGCCAATTAATCACGCAAAAATAGGAAGTGGAGCTGTGGCTCCAGTCGTAGAGCACTAGCCTTGAGCACAAACAGGCTCACGGACAGTGCCCAGGCCTTAGGGGAGAGGGGGAAAGCTAATTTTGTGGGAGGTGAGGGGAAGAGAGCAGGTTGGACTGAGGATTGTATAAAGCCTTCAGACAGAGGGCTGGGGTAGTGTGGAGCAAAGGATGCTGGAATGTCAGCAGGGGTAGGCCGGGCCCAGTCTGCCCACTCTGCGTCGCGTATAACCTTAACTCACAGAGATCAGAGACGGTTTGCCATATGGCACCTGGCCTAGACTCTCTGCTAGGCCCTTAGGATGCAGCTGTGACATGTCGTCCTTGTGTTCCTGGGCCTCAAAGTGTGGTGGCATCAGTCACACAGCCATGAGTGACAACTGGGGTGGGTGCAAGGCACGGGGACTTGATGTGTTGTCCACCTGAGGGAAGAGAAGGTGTTTGTCCTGGGAGGGGCAGGGACTGAAAGCTGGGACCACAAGGACCCCTTGTAACACATCTTCCTGCACCTCCAGACGGCCACGACCAAAGTCCCTGAGGTCCGTGATGTCACAAGGATTGAGCGAATTGGTGAGTGAACAGGAACAGGCTTCAGAGCTGACCCCTGACAACCCAAGGCTGGCCACGCCCCCTGGGGCCAGCACACCCATGAGTGCCATAGCACCGAGTTCTTGGTTGGGCCGGTTTTTTTCTCCCTCTTGAGACAAGGTCCTTTCTATGTAGCCTAAGTTAGCTTTGAACTTGAGGTCCTTCTGCCTCAGACTCTGGGATGACAGGTGTGCATTGCATCCAGCTCTCTCAGGCCAGGTGTGTGGTTCAGCAGCTGGCCAGTTTGCAGTGCATCCTTGGATGGGCTCTGGTGTCCTCTCAGAGGTGCTGATTGGGGCCCTTGCTTGGCAGCTGAGATAACCCAGACTTCCAGGGGAAGTCCCTCCCCTCGGCCACGCACTGCCATGAGCCAGCCAATAATCATTGCCCTCCCCAACAGGTGCTCACTCCCACATCCGGGGCCTGGGCCTGGACGATGCCTTGGAGCCGAGACAGGTAGCGCCTCAGCCCGGGTAGCAGGGCCCTGGGAGCGTGGGGACGGAGCCCATCTTTCTACCCTTTGAAGACATATTCAGAGCACAGCCACACATGGGCTTTTCATTGGCATTTTTTTTTTTTAAATGGGAATGTGGCTTAGTGGTGGAGTGCTTGCCTAGCATGCAGGAAGCCCTGGGTTCGATTCCTCAGGACCACATCCACAGAAAAAGCCGGAAGTGGCGCTGTGGCTCAAGTGGTAGAGCGCTCGCCTTGAGCTGAAGAGCTGAGGGACAGCACCCAGGCCCAGAGTTCAAGCCCCACGACCGACAAAAAAAAAAAAGAGAGTATTGGTCTTGGCTTTTGTCATAGTCCCAGGCTACATTTGCCAGCTGTCCCGTGGGGCGGTGGGAGGAAGTCACCTCACAACCTCTCGCCCTCCACCCTCCAGGCATCCCAGGGCATGGTAGGGCAGCTGGCAGCCCGGCGGGCAGCCGGGGTGGTGCTGGAGATGATCCGAGAAGGAAAGATTGCAGGGCGGGCAGTCCTCATCGCTGGTCAGCCGGGCACCGGGAAAACAGCCATCGCCATGGGTAAGAGGCTTCCCAGAACTGGGGTTCTCATCACTGCCAGATAATGTCTTCTGTGTAAATCAGAGTTGGGTTCAGCTCCATTTAATGTACAACCCGAAATGACCATGATAAACACAGGCATCTCCCATTTAGGGCTCATTCAGAAATTCCACAAAGTGCACTACTTTTCTGCCTCAACATCTTTTGTACTTGCATGTCAAGATGACCTTATGTTCCAAGAGGCTACCTAAGCTCCAGCCTTCCCACTCACACTCCAGGTAGCAGGAAGACAGAGGAATGGCAGTGAGAGTATAGCTTTGGTAGTCTGCTCCCTTGAAGTACCTGACTTAGAAGTCCCACATACTAGCCGGGCGCTGGTGGCTCACGCCTGTAATCCTAGCTACTCAGGAGGCTGAGATCTGAGGATCGCGGTTCAAAGCCAGCCCAGGCAGGAAAGACCATGAGACTCCTATCTCCAATAAAAACCACCAGAAAACCGGAAGTGGCGCTGTAGCTCAAGTGGTAGAGCGCTCAGCTTGAGCTGAAGAGCTGAAGGACAGCGCCCAGGCCCAGAGTTCAAGCCCCACGACCGACAAAAAAAAAAAAAAAAAAAGAAGTCCCACATACTTATGCACTTGCTTCTCATTTTGGCCAGAAATTGATCACGCGATTTCCCTGTGCTAGAGAGGACCCTAAGACATGAAAGAGTTGTGTGGGTTTTTTTTGGGGTCCGGTTATGGGGCCTGAACTCTGGGCCTGGGCGCTGTCCCTCAGCTCTTCAGCTCAGGGCTAGCGCTCTACCACTTGAGCCACAGCGCCACTTCCGGCTTTTTTCTTTTTGCATATGTGGTGGCTGAGGAATCAAACCCAGGGCCTCAGGCATACAAGGCAAGCGCTTTACCACTGAGCCACCTTCCCAGCCCCAAAAGAGTTATTTTTTGTTTTTTGTTTGTTAACATTTTAACCTGGATCATTGTGGCCTTCATAAAATGAGGGTTCTGGACTAAAGAGTCAGGTGGATATTGAATCATTTCTGTTACAATCCATGAGTGATGTATAATCTTTTCCTTTATCTTCCTTGTTGAACTCCTATCCATCCTTCAAAACCCTCCATCAGTATCTCTCTCTCTGTGAGGCTTTCTCTAACCTGTTT